ACACACACACCACCACACACTCCATGGAACAACAGGGATTTGTGTACTAATTTCTGATATAGATCTTGTGTGTATTTCCAAGCACAACTAGACAAGCACAACTGATGCCGAGTCAGTAGCCATATGCCATGTCATTAAAAAGGGTAGCCAGTAGTAGCGACACCTAGCTGTCTTTATTGACAGCCAAGGCGCTCTCCATACGCTTACTGTATTTAATCCTGAAAACATGGTAGCTAGAAATATCCTTTACCAAATTTCTAGACCAGAACAGGGTATTTAAGTGTCATACTGGCTACCCCCTCATATATCATTATGTGACAGGGTTGATCAGTTAGCCAGAGAAGCACTTTCCCATGAAGATCCACATTATTTTAGTACCGCTATCTCTAAGTCAATTTTTTAAAAATATATATATTAGCTGCCTTCCAGATTATGGACCACTGAAAAGATGAAAAATGACACAGATGGAAAAATGACGCAGACAGGACACAGACAGAGACAGAGATAGACAGGCAGACAGACATGGGATTACGAGTGTTGCTGGGACATCAGATATAGACAACCCTATAAAATCTATCATGTACTATCTCGGAGACAGCAGGTTGCATTGACTAGGCTACGGATAGGCTATCAGCACACTATACAATATGTACAGATACATTTTGGAGGCAAAACCAATTTCATATCACCACTGCAGACGGTGCAAGGCGCCAAGGTCTCATAACCTTACCCATTACAAGAAAACTGTATCCTATCGGTCAAATAGTACTGTCCACAGATTAACACTTGTTGATTATATTAACTTCATTATAGACGCTGGTCATATCTTTCACATGTTTAATTATATATATATATATATATATATATATATATATATATATATATATATATATATATATATATATATATATATATATATATATATATTTATATATCATTACATTTTTTTAGCAGATGATAATTTAATGCATTAATAATAGCACAGCCCCTCAGGCATGTATATAACACTATTATTTGACTAGTAGCCCTCTACACAAATAGAAGTACAGTCACTTTCGGATCTTACGCTGGCTTTTTGCTTGGGCATGTACACTGTAAATAAATGTTATCGAATAGAATCCACCACCTCTCTCTCTCTCTCTCTCTCTCTCTCTCTCTCTGTCTGCCCCCCCCTCTCTCTCTGTCTGCCCCCCCTTTCTCTCTGTCTGTCTGTCTCTCTCTCTCTCTCTGTCTGCCCCCCCCCTCTCTCTCTCTCTGGCTCTGTCTGTCTGTCTGTATGTCTCTCTCTCTCTCTCCCTCCCCCCCCCCCTCTCTCTATTTCTCTCTGTCTGTCTCCCCCCCTCTCTCTCTCTGTCTCCCCCTCTCTGTCTCTGTCTCTGTCTGTCTGTCTGTCTGTCTCTCTCTCTCCCTCCCCCCCTCTCCCTATTTCTCTCTGTCTGTCTCCCCCCCTCTCTCTCTCTGTCTCCCCCCTCTCTTTCTCTGTCTCTCTCTGTCTAACTGTCTGTCTGTCTGTCTGTCTCTCTCTCGCTGGCTTTTTGCTTGGGCATGTGCACTGTTCTGTAAATAAATGTTATTGAATAGAATCCACCACCTCTCTCTCTCTCTCTCTCTCTCTCTCTGTCTTCCCCCCCCCTCTCTCTGTCTGTCTGTCTCTCTCTCTCCCTCCCTCCCTCCCCCCCCTCTCTCTCTTTCTCTCTGTCTCCCCCCTCTCTCTCTTTCTCTTTGTCTGTCTTCCCCCTCTCTCTCTGCCCCCCCCCTCTCTCTGTCTCTGTCTGTCTGTCTCTCTCTATCTCTCTTCCTCTGCCTCTCTCTCTCTCTCTCTCTCTCTCTCTCTCTCTCTCTCTCTCTCTCTCTCTCTCTCTCTCTCTCTCTCTCTCTCTCTCTCTCTCTCTCTCTCTCTCTCAATCTCTTAATGCGCAAGATATCTATCAGACCTTTCTGGGAATCCAACACGCTAAGCAAACAGGAAAATTATCGAAAGAAACAGAAGCAAAGTAGTGGGAGGCCGAGCACTCCAGTACGCATCTCGGCAGCCGTGTTACGCGAACGCCGCCTGTGATGTAACCGCCGCCGTGTAGTCTGCTGCAGGCGGCGCGAGAGGAGCCGAGTGAAGGGCGCAGGACGTGGGGAGGACCAACACAGAGACCAAGATGTTCGTGGCAGCGATGCTAACTAGGCAAGGGAGATACGCGGCCACCGTTAGAAGAATAGTACAGGGATTTCAGAGACAGGGCGATTGCAATAAGCTCGGAAATGTAGCAGCGAGGAGCTTCGTTACCTCAGTTGATCGTAAGGATGTTGCGAATTATTATACAAGTCTCCTTTCTCTCTTTCTCTCATTATCTATTTCTCTCTTTCTCCTTCTCCCTCGCCCTCGCCCTCTCTCCCTCCCTTCCTCCCTCTCTCTGTCTGTGTCTGTCTATCTCTGTCTCTCTCAGTCTGTCTCCCTCTCCCTCTGTCTGTCTGTGTCTGTCTGTCTGTCTGTCTGTCTGTCTGTCTGTCTGTCTGTCTGTCTGTCTGTCTGTCTGTCTGTCTGTCTGTCTGTCTGTCTCTCTCTCTCTCTCTCTCTCTGTGAATTATTATACAAGGTCTAATATGAAGGAGA